GGAGGGAGGGAGGGAGGGAGGGAGGGAGGGAGGGAGAAAAGAAAGTATAAAAATTGGCAAAAAGCCGCTCATGCTTTTAAGAGTAAATATTCATCAGTCCCATTCAAATTCTATAATGTTTAATGGTAATAAGTACGCAATTCTGTTTTACAAATGGATGATATTGCTAGCATTTTCAAGTAATGAATTTTGGGAAGAAAATGAAAAACCTAGACAAAATAAAAATAAAAAAAATAAATTGTGATATCCTTCCCTGGGGGAATCTTCACACAGTAAAGGTGTTATTACAAACTGAGAGATTTGTTAAGTAAAATTTTACCAGAAGTGCTAGAATATGTACTTCTTCCCCCCCTCCCCATTTTGAGTAAGATGAGGAAAATGAGGGGTTTTATGTCACAGATTTTACTGGGGAGGCGTAAATTCAGCTCCACAAAGGCAGAGAATATGTTATTTTTGACACAACATAATATAGTGCTTGAACTGTTTTTTAATCAGGGGGAATATAATAAAGAAACTTATCCTGTACATTACAATAATATTTTACAGTGTTAAAGTATGCATTACAAGAGCATAACATCGCAAAACTGTAAAATGATTAAGATTAAAGAATAATATAAATATCATTTAAATTATAAAATGTTTGCTTTCAATGTGAAGACAAGCTCATATTAAAAATTCTCATGCATAGTTTGCTTCTTTACTATATTGTTACATATTTAATTTTAAACTCAGATTCATAGCTTTTTAAAGCAAGGTATCACTTTGAATAACATCTTTCAAGGTGTGATGTATAATTTGTTTGAACTTCTATGAATGTTTCACACAATACTTTTTCAGGGAAAGAAGAGCTAGCAAGTTTTTCTTCATCCTGCAATAGTAATTCTTTAATTATGTCCTTTTAAATCAGATTGAACCAAGTTGTGGCTTTTAAATGTATCAACTTCCCTTAATTTCAATTATACACATTTCTCTCTCATTTCTCTTCTCCCCAATATCTCTGACTTTACTGTATCTAAATGATATTTTGAAAAAGTGCTTAGTAGTAAGCTATTTGAATCCATTACAGCTTTTAATGGCATTTTTTGTAAAATGTCAGATGGGTTAATACTGATCAGTGAGAATCAACACCATTTACTTTGATATTCAGTATCAAATGACATTTATTGTATTCTCAGAATGTAAATGGTAGAACTCACCAGTGGGCCCAAAGCACAGCCATTTGATGTGCATGCTTGAACTCTGAAGGCATGGAGACTCCAAGGAGAAAGGCCAGAAATATAATAGGTCACTTTTGAGGAATTCTGCACCAGAATGCCATTCATGTACAATCCATAACTAGTAATAAATCCTATTTTAAAAACAATAGCAATAAAAGAGAAACATATTACTGTTAAATCACAATAAAGGTACATTTGAAAGGTTACACTAACTTGGGAGTATGTCACATTGAACTCAGTGACGCCTACTTCAGAATATATGTATGTATGTATGTATGTATGTATGTATGTATGTATGTATGTATGTATGTATGTATATGTGTGTGTGTGTGTGTATGTGTATGTGTATGTGT